ACTTCTCCTCGTAATATAGCCCAACCCCCCCAATTAAAAAATGATTTTTTAAACTTTTTTTCATTTTTCTTTGTGTGAGGGGGTGGGTCTGGGGTTGCACCGCCGCATGGCGCTTCCCGAATCCCCAACCCCCTTCTCGTCTGGCCGCCACATGGCGTCAAAGGAGCGCGGACCCGTCCGAGGGGTCGGCGGACTGGCCGCGTCCGCGGATTCGGCCGTGCTTGGCTGCCGCCGAGGGGGATTCATAGGGCCGAAGTACGCCCATAGTGGAATGGCCGCTGCCGACATCAAACTCGTTCTTCTTCTCCCACTCCCTCATTTCCGGCTGGCCAAAAGCCTGTTCCCCTTTCATCTGTTCCCATAACACGCCCTTAAAAAAACTCTGACCTTTGCAGCCTGCGCGACCCCGCTGGAGACTGTCGTGCTGGCCACTCCTTTAGCTCATGCAAGGGTTAGTATGGGGCCGAGACCCCAAAATCTTTCCGAACACATTCAGACACATGCATTCATTCAGCAAAAACATAAAAAAAAGCAGGCAGCAAAGCAATTTTTTTTTTCTTATCAAAGAAAAGGGAGCATCTGACTGGTAGACAGGCGCCCGACAACCAGCCCACACCCCAATTCTCGTCGTCCCCGTGAGCTTTTTCGTAACCCTTCTTTTCCCATGCCTTTCCCCATACCTAATGGTCCCTCTTTTCCCCCTAACACACTCGTTATGCGTATTTTTTTTTCCCCGGTTTGCATTACCTTCTCTATCGGATTACGTTCCCTTCTTTTTTTTCCCTACATGGTTTATGGTACAGGCCTCCGCTTTTTCGGTTTATAAGTGGCTTCACCTAACTATAGCCCTGTCCCCCCCTTATCTTTTCCTCCTTCCTAACTATGGTACATGTTTCTTCTAACTAGGGTACATCCTTTCTTAGCCTTTCTTTCTTTGGAATTATGACACTAGCTTCCCCTAGTCGTGGTATAGACCCCCCCCCTTTTCTAGGGGTTTTATACCCGTCTCCCCCTCCTCATCTTTCTCTCTCGCCTCACTTTTTTTCGCTTCCTCTCTTCTCTCTCGCACTTGACTCTTCAAGGCTTTTCATCAAATCGCTCCTTCTCTCTCTCATCCGACGCTTCCCCAATTGGTCAGTATCACAGTCATCCTCCCTTGGCCGTTTGTTTTTCCTAGGTGTTTTTGGCTGGGGAGGTCTCCGAACCTTGTACCCCCTTTTAGGTGGTCGCGAAGAGGCCCCCTGCTTTGAAGTGTCTCCCTTCTCGTGGGTGGCGGCCACCTCCGCATCGACTGCTTCCTTTACTTTCCTTTTTGGTTCCTCCCTAAGGGTCTCTCTCCATCGAAAAATTTTGAGGTGAGCCGCCGCGATAGGGTCCCGTAACCTAGCCCCGTCCAATTTGGAAAGAAGGTATGCTCCCCCATCCAGTCTCTTTAAGACCCGATACGGCCCCATCCACCGGGTGGCTAGCTTCTTGCTCCAAGTTTTTTCTAAGGATGAGTCGTACATCAGGACGAGGTCACTAGTCCCTATCGGCTTTTGTCGGACCCGCAAATTCTTGTCCCAACTTTCTTTCCCTTTCACCCTCTCCTTCTCGATGTTCTTCCCGGCGTCGGTAAGTCCGGCGTCTAGATTTTCTGCTATTTGTTGTATCCTCGCCTCTAACAACTCTCCCCTAGTCATGTTGGTTTTCCACGTGACACTCCAAGTATTATTGTGATGTTGTCGGCCCAAACTGCATAGCGCAAATACTTTGGCCATTGCTCATCTCACCCCTTGCACCATTTTGCCAAAGCATCTACCAACGTCTGGTGGCCTCTTTCGATCGGAGCATTGCTTTGGGGGTGGTAGGCAGTCATGTAGGCCGCCTTAATCCCCGCCTTTTCCAATATTGCCTTGACCTTTTGGCTTAGGAACTCGGACCCCCTATCCATGATTATCTTCCCGACACACCCATACCTTGCGATGTATTCCAGGAGAAAGTCACTCACATCCTCGACCATCTTCTTTTTAATGACCTTAGCTTCTACGAATCCCGTGAGGTCATCGAGGGCATGAATGATGTACTGAAGCCCGCCGATTCCTTTGGGCATGATTACTAAATCAATGTGGACCTTTTCGCCTGAGACGGTGGGGAGCGATGGTACAAGGGGTTCCTTGTAACGGATGGTCGCCCTCTTTTGGCATGCTTCACAGGTTAAACAGTACTTTTCGACTTCCGCGTACTGCCCATCCCACCAATAGAGCCTGCGAACTTTATCAAAAGTCCTTTTTACCCCTCTACGCCCCCCGACGACGCCGTCGTGTAACTCTTCTATGACTGCCCTCCTTTCTTCCGGATCGCAAAGCACCCGCATGGGGATTGCGAACTTGGTGGGTCTCTTAAAGAGGTGTCCTCCTCGTAGGCAATACCCAAGCGTCGCCCTCTTGATTACCTCGGTGCCTTCTTCTCGACCCGCTAGGTATAACCCTTTATCTTGGTACTTTCCGTCGTAATGGTTGGCGAAGAACGTCCTAGGGCCTTCGCCTTCCTCTCGGATCATCACCTCTACTTGCGCCTTGTTAGCGGTGACTTGGATTATCTTATCCTTGGATATTGCTAGCCTTGCTTCCTCCAATCTCGGGTAATCCTCGCCTCGGATTGGGAGTCGGGACAACCCGTCGGCAACCTGATCTCTGGCCCCAGAGATCCTTTCGACCTTGTAATCGTAGAGCATGATATGGATCATCCACCTAGCAATAGTCGGGTCGGTTAGCGAGAAGTCCTTTTGAAGGACAGCGACTACCGCGGTCTGGTCCACTCTTAGGAGGAACCGTCTCCCGTAGATGTAGTGGCGGAAGGTCTTTAGGCAGTGCAACACCCCCAACACTTCTTTCTTGAATTGGTTGTAGCTCCTCTCGGCGGGATTCAAGGCCCAACTCTCAAATCGCATGGGTCTCTCTTTCCCATCTCGATCCTTTTGAGACAGAAGTTCTCCTACGGATCATGGTCCTGCGTCCGTGGAAACTATGAATGGGCGGTTCTCCTCGTCCTCGAAGAACGAAACGCCCCAAGACTTGTCCTCCTTCCCGGAATTCATTTTTGAGGGTTTCCATGACCGCGGCCTGCTCCTCTCCCCAGATCCATCCCTCAACTTTCCTAAGCAGTCGTCTAGGGGGCTTCGCCTTCTCGCTGTAGGCTTTTATAAAGATCCTTCAGTAGCCCACCACCCTTAGAAATTGCCTCACGTCCGTGATTGACTTTAGTAGCGACGACTAGGTCATCAATATTTTTAGTTTCGCGGGATCGGGCATTCGCCCATCCTTGTCACAGATGAAGCCTAATATCTTGATCGATGATACTCCCCAGCGACTCTTAGTCCCACTCACGGTAAGGTTGGCGTCATCTAATTTCGCGAGGACCTCCGTTACATCTACCATGTTATTCACCACAAACTTCCTTACCCCAGGGAAGACCTCTGTCTCATCCTTTTGGACCGGCCCTTTTATTGGGAAGTCGTCAAGGAAGACCTCTACCTTATCCGGTATGAATTCCTTGAGGACCACGATCATGGCTCCTTGGAACACCGCCACTTCGTTCGTCCACCCCATAGGTACCACCATCATTTGAACTAGCCCTAGAGGCGTGTGCATCGCGGTCATGTGTCTATCTCGGTAATCCAAGAGGATCTCATCATAGCCCGATAAGAGATCGCAGATTGAGTAGATTGAGCGACCCGCCGATCCTTCCGCGAGTAGTAACCGCGTTGGTCCTTTGGAGATTCTGGATCCACCTTAGTTTGTTGCTACCTCCTTTTCTCCGAAAGAACCACTTGTTTGAGTAGGCACTCTCACAAGGTTCCGCGACAAATGTCTTTATCTTCTCTTTAATGAAGATCACTATCTTTTCCTTCTCTTTTTGCGCATACTTCCACGACCGTCTGTTTTTCCACGGTACGTGAGGTATCGTATGGATCCGGGCAGGCTTAGCGTACCTTGGGTCTATCCTCCCTCTTTTCGAATCATCGAAGGCTATGGCCTTATCGCAATCCCTTAGGGTCATAGCCACATATTCCTTCTCTTGTTCTGTGAGGTTTCCATCCCCTATGTCCATTTTAGCTAGCCTATCGGTCGTAATTCGCTGCCCTTTGGTCTTCTTCCGCTTTCAGATGATATCGACTATCTCCTCCTCCGATATCGAGGCTTCCCCCGTTCTATCCCGGCTGACCGCAGCGGGTTTCACTTTCTCCGCTACGATTTTATGCTTCTTACCTCTGCCGGCTAGAGGGATTCCACCCAAAAATACAGCCTTAGGCACCCACCGAATTCCTCTTCTTCATCCTCCTTTTCATATCCAACCCCATCGATGATTATCTGGTCTCCAATCTCCTCGACTTCTACCCGACTCCCCGGGGGTTCCTTCTCGGCGAAGGGGGACTCTTCTAGTCGGACCTGATATACTCGAGACTGAACTGCTCTCCTCCTTGGGACACTGGCGCGGTTCTGCTCATCTTTAGCATCCACTGTCCTTAGGACCACTCGAATTCCATCCGGACTTCGGATCGAGAGGGTCTGGCTTCCGTCCGGAAGATCGACCCTAGTAGAGTGGACTGCGCTCAGCCAAGTTCGTCCGAGGATCAACTYGGAAAAACATTCTTTCACCWGAAAATTGAGACAGTAGCTTCCACTCCTRSGACCTCAATSAAGGGGCTGTGACATACCCCCTCTGCCGGTTGGAGCTTGTTGTCCGCCACTACCATCGACATGGCCACTCCCCTATCCACTTCTAGCCCCAGTTCCCTKGCTATAGAGTCCCGACACACGGTCGACTCGGACCCATTATCCACTAGGGCTCYCATCTTCTTCCCACTCACCATGGCTTGGAGCTGGCCGCTCCCTAATACATAGAATTTCCTAGCCTCTTCCTCCGAGAAGAAATTGGTTGGCAGCTCCTCCATCGTAATCCGAGAGGACTGCACCTCCTCCTTGGCGGTYCATCCCCAGGAACGGGCGGTCCTTCCACGAGCGGAATCCTCACCTTCCTGGTGATGCTCAAGAGCTCGTCTCTAGCGCTCTTGCTGGCCGCCAAATACTCCAAAAGAGTGCATTGCATTGGCTGCATTAGAGTCCTCCGTAGCGGCGCAACCGTGTCTATCTCGTCCAAGGTACACTTCATTTCGAACTTCTTCGGCCCTTTCTTCCTAGGCGATTTCGGTGACAAAGGTTCTTCCCCCTTCCTTTCCTCCGTGGTTTTAGCGTCGACCATTGGTTGGTCGTCGTCGCTACTCCTCTTCCCTCYGTCCACTATCGAGCTTCCCTTGCTCTCAGACGGCCCGAYCCCAATTTGAGTTCTCACTCTCAGGCACGGTCCCTCTTCTTCAGGCTTCGTCTCAACGAAYTTKATGTTAGACACCTGCGGCTCCCTTATGGACACGCCTCCCGGCGCCTCCGTCATTTGGACGCGGGAGGAGYTAGAGGTYCCGCCTACCTTAGGCTTCTTCCCTAGCCTTGCCTCTTGTAGAGCAATCCTCTTGTCCACGTTTATCTTCATCGAGGGGTAGAAGGAGACTGCCTCTCCATCATCTCCCCACACGACTCACTTATTTTCATTCAACTTCACCACTCCTAACCTTAGGGCTTCCGTGAGGTSAGGGCACTCCCGCTTGAYGTGACCATCTTCATTGCAATAAACACACCYGCTTCGAGGTGGCGGATTGTTATGTCGTCCCCASGGTCGCCGAAGGACCGGGTGGGTGCGATCTAGCCTGGCTTACCTCGGGGCGAGTCCCCATGGCCCTAGGCTGGGGAGGGTCTCCCCATCTTCCATCCCTCGCATCCTTCCAATGGGAATTCCCCCATTCTGAGACCCGATTCCCTTCATCTTCTCGGCCGTTCTCCAGTTCCCTTGGTTACCGGACGTGTTCCGCCAACCTGTGGGTCCTCCTCCCCAGCGTTGGCCGGGAGGCTCAGGAGGCTGCCTTTCGTTCCCGCGAGGACCATCGTTTCTTTGAGTACGCATACTTCGGAGTGCCATGTCCAGACTTTCCTTCATGTACTCTCGCACGTCCACTCCCCTTCCCGTAAAGACTACCTCGGCGACTCTTTCGAAATTCGCCGAGTCCCTAGGGGCCCTCTCGAGAACCTCCCTCCTCTTTTCTTCGGGTAGGTGCAACATGAACATTACACACCTGTCTACTTTCGAGAGCATCCCTCTATTTACCAAAGCTTGCGACAAGCGTTTGAATCTTCGAGTGAATGCTACCATGCTTTTCTGTTCCCCTCTCGAGACCCAGCGCAACCCTTCTATCGTAGGGATCAAATCGTTGTAGGCGAAGGTCCGCAATAAGCTGCTGTTGAAGGTTTTCCACCTCCCATCTGTCGGGTATATTGCCCTAATGGCCTGGTCCAGTTTAGGGTCCGAATGTTGTATAAAATGGTCGATCCATTCTTTCTCCGAAAATTTCTTATGGTGGGCGTAACTCTCCCATTTTACCACGAACCCGGCCCTGTCCCTTCCATTGAAGTAGAGCGATTCTAGTCCTAGGCTCACATCGTAGTAGGGGACTCGCCGGTCATCACACCGACGGAAGTAGGCACCTTCAGGCGACCTATCTATCACTGGGTCGTAGGGTTTGTACCAAGCGGGGTCCAGATCCTCCATCCGCGGTCGAGCCGTCGGAGGTCCCCATGGTTCCTCCTCACGGCGGCCTCTATCACCCGGGTCTTCACGTTCCCAACACACGCGTTCTTGGCCCCTAACCCCCCTCTAGACGTCTCCGAATCCTCCCATATTCCTTCCTACCGCTTCCTCCTGTATCCATGCGGAACTGATATCTCTCCCGACCCATCTTCGTGGTCCTTCCCCAATTTCTGTCGGTCGTTCGTTTCCTAGTTCCCTCCTCCTTATGCTCCCTTCTTCACCCCTCCTCGGTGCCCAACACCCAGCCCTATCACGCTGGAACTCTTGCCCCTCACCGACTCTCTCTTCCGCGCCCACTTGACCCACCCATCGGGTTTCGACCGGGAAGCCCTTCGTGGCTTCTGCCGTCCTTTCTCTTACTAGTATTCGTGGCTCCACTTCCCGGTGCAAACGCTCCTCGAAACTCGTTCGTTGTTTCAGTGTTCTTTCTCCGAGGGGTGCCTCCGTGCTCCTTAAGGTCCTACTGATAGCTTCCATCCCCGCGGTCAATCCTTCGGCTGACTTGCTTAATCTCGCCCCTAACTCGGTATCTTCCTCGGCTCGCCCCATGCCAGTGGTCTTAGGTGATCGGGCGAGTCCCACCTCGCTTTCCATGCACCCTATCACCAATCTCTAGTCGCTTTCCTCGCTAGTGTCACCATGTCCTTCCGCTTCGTTACCTTCTTCCGAGTTTCCCTCCCCTTCACTTGATTCATGTTCCTCACTATCACCCTCAGATTCTTCGCTAGTCACGGTCCACCAAAAGTCGCGTATTCGTTTCTCTTCGCAAGCTGCTAACGCTAGGTTGACAATCTCTAGATCGAAAATGCCCTTAATTCCCTCTTGAGAACACCTTTTAATCAGAGCTCTATCCACCTCTCCGGCTTACCCTCTAAATAGAGGCTTAATGAACTTCCCTACTAATGCCCACCACTCGAAGTACGTATGCTCCCGCGGCTCCCAACACTGGGTGAATAACTCGTGTTCCTTCTCCTCTCCTTGGGGAAATTTTTCAATTATTTGCCCTCTATTTAGGACCTTCCTCACATCCGCGTCGTCGGGGTAGAGCAGTCGGTAGGCCCAAGCAGGGATTTCCCAAGTCCGGCCGTGAGCCGCATGCAGGATCTCTAGCCTCCCTCGGTACTCAATCCTATCTACCACGCGTCCTTCGGCGGCCCCCCCTCTCAACCCTCTAAGCCGGTCTAGGGCTTTTCGAGCGATACCTAGAGGGTCCTTTCCTTCTGCTAACTCGGTCACAAAGAACTGCCTATCGTTGTGAGACATGAAGATTCCAGCCCTTCGCGTGCGGGTACCTCCCTCGGAAACTATCGAAAAACGAACTATCATTTTCTGCCCGTAGATCTCGAAGAACTTCGTAATAGCTTCCCCTTCCTCCCTGATCTTGGGGAGGGTTACTCCATATATAGCCCCCGACTTCCAAGCCCTTTTCAAGGTCCCGACAAGGCTCCCCCTGTCGTATCTAATCATTGACAGGCCTACCTTACCCGGGCTAATCTCTCGGCCGCCTCCGCTAACGAGTCCTCACACCTCCCTCGCCCTCTCTCGCCTTGGTCGAGTATCGTCTTCTGCAAAACTCTCTCGTATTGTCCCGTCCTATCCTAGAAACGGGCCTCAACTAGGTGCAAAAATTCGAAGGGAGTCCTGAGCCACCTAGAGCCCTCCTCAAACTTTCTCTTGACCTCAAGCAAGGGTTCCCTCCGAGTCCTAGAGAATCGCACTTCCCCCGCCTTACTAACAAAAACCGAAAACTTTGCAAAAGTGCTACAGGATCTCCTCTTCCACAAAGCTAATCGTCGGACTTCGACGAGGAATTCCTTCTTGGCTCGAGCCTCTTGGTCCTCTCCGAGACCTGGGCTAAGTTCCCCTCCCCCTTCTACCGCGACCTCGGGGCCGTTGTCACGCGTCTCTAATTCCCAGGTTATCGAATTAGAGGTGTAGGTAGCTCTCATGCCTATCTTCCTCCCGATAGCAGCTCCTCCTTTAATTCGTCGAAGATCTTAATCGTGGTTGTCTCAAGTAATTTGATCTTGCGCAAGGACCCTGACCTTGCTCTTCTCTCCTCTTCCCAACAAAGGGTCAGGATTCTATACACTTCTGCCCTCACCCTCTCTAGTCCCACTAGCTCTCCGGTGTCAGGCGTGCTCATGCCTCAAGTTCCTTCGTCGGCACGCAATCACGATCCGAATGAGATCCGAGGGGTCCAATCCTTCTAACCCTGCCTCACAGATCTCCCCCAAGTACCTCCACGAAATGGTCGACGCCCTCGCGTGTTGGCCCCAACCTTCGAAGGCGTAGCCCATGTCGTCTAGTGACGACCAATTGTCCTGGTATGGGTTTCGGAGGCACCACGATAGTAGGGCGTGCAGGTCCGATCTAGTGAACCGAAATTGGTTCAAGATCGAGATCCTACACTCTACCGCCCTCTTGACCGCTTCGGAGGGGTAGACCCGCTCGAGGATGAAACGAGGGACTCCTACGGGGTTACTGGCGACAAATAGCGGTACCTCTTCCCAACCTGCGTATGTCACTTGATATACCTTTCGGTACCTTTCTCGAGGCCTCACCTCCTCCACTAGTCTCTCTAATCTGTCGTACAACTCGCACGTCTAAGAGAGGGTGTTCTCCCAACTTCAAATTTCGGACTACCTCTAGGGGACCTTCCTTCGAAAGGAATATCTTGGCTTCCCCGATCACTAACCCCTTCTCGCTATTCACTGACAACCGAACGAATGCCTTCCCTCGGCGAATTTCAGCCACTTCTCTTTGAATGGTTCGCGTCGGGCCCTCCAAGCTCGTTTTCGGTAACATGATGTGGACAATCTCCCCCGCCTCTTCTATAGGCTCTATCGAGGCCCAACGAGTTCCCGAAATTCCCCTTATCATCACCCCGTCCGAGCCTCGTACCCCTTTCGGTTAGTCACTTGCTCTTCCCCAAAGAGGCGGGCGTACGGGACATCAACAACGTGAGCTCTCACCCCCTCAAACTCCCTTAACCTTTCGAGTATAGGAGCTAGCTCTCCCCCAGGGGGAGCCCCAGCGTCAACACACCGAGTGTAGAGCCAAAATAGCCCTTGCGTCCGCACCCTGGATTGTTGAGCGGCTCGGAGTTCCTCTACCACTCTCCCTTTCGGGTCCCGCAGGAGTGACTGCCCCAGGAACTCGGGCAAGGCTGCGTGAAGCACCTTGGAAGCTCGAGGGACCGAAGTCCCTTCCTCGTAACTGCCTAGTACTATATCGTTCGCTGCCTTCCTCGCGGACTTGCGGTACTCCGTATGAGTCTCTAGGCCGGTCACTAAGCCCCTCCAAACTTCGGTCCACGAGTCCTCGTCCAGGAAAACCGTAGCCTGGACCTCGAGAAACCGACCCAGGTGAAGCGGACCTCCCCTTCGCACCCCTTCCTTCCAGGTGAGTCGATGAGCCCTGACCCACATGTAAGCACCTTCTCCGATGTTTTCTCCCTTCTCAATTCTCAACACTCATCCAGTAGAGAGTTACACGAGGGTCCCTAGGAATCAAGACCTGACTTCCTTCACCGACCTCTATCGTTTCTACCACTCCGCTATTGCTGAGCGTAAACCTTACCATCTACCGTGGTTGTTTTGAAGACCCACTCGCGGTACTTCCCAGGCGAGAGGGCAACATACTTTTCGAGAGACCCAAGCCTCCTGAAAATACCCCAGAGTTTCCCTCGCGGAGGGATTCCCTGGTCGACACAGTGAGTGTAAAGTATCCACAGGGCCCTAAAGGGTAGGCCTAAACTTCTTCCTCTCTCCAAGAGCTTTACTACCCTATCCTCGTTTGATCTCAAGAATACAAAGCTCGGGGCCCTTGAGGTTAACGGATAACTCGCCCTCGGAAGCTCGCTTGTCCGGGCGAACTGCTCTAATTTTATTGCCACAAAGCTAAACTCTCTCCGGGTCCTCACTATCCACCTTCTCCTTACTTCTCTTACTTCTTGGAGCAATAGATCCAGCCCACCCCCTTGGCCTAAGACCAGGGGTACTACGACCTTGAACCAATCGCCCGGCTCGACAAAGATTATCGCAGTGACTTTGAGATGCACCCTAGTCGCTCTAACCCTTATTTCTCCCGACTCTATCCACACGAAATTCCCGCCGACCGTGATTTTTCCACCTTGCAACCTCCTCCAATCGGGGACTTCCCCGTTGCTTGGAACCAAGCTACGAACCCCTCGCTCATCTAAAGGGGACCCGACAAACTTACCAAGGTCCTTGTCAAAAAGAACCATTCATGCTAAAACACCTTTTGCCGAACTTCAAAAACCCTTTGGTAATGGTAGTCTCTCCCGCCTTCACGCTCTTGCTCCGATTCCAAAGAGACCCGTTCTCGGATCCGGTCATCTCTAACCCCGTACGGCACCGGGTTATCCACACAATAAGAGAAGTACCAATGAAGAGAATGAAAGGACAACCCTCTTCTTTTCTCTCGCCTTATAGACTTCACGACCTTCTCGTACGCGCTCCCTCTCCACACACTCTCCTGAAGACGTAAGATGAAAATATGGCTTGGACGCAACCCGTAGCACGAGGGTATTCCTCGTTCCGAGCACAAGTCACTCGCAAGCGGAACAACAGGTTGTGTCGAAGGGGTACCTCCTCGAAGAACTGTTTAAGAATAGGCCCCACGCGTACCTCCTGATGGTCCGCCCGATACCGCCCTAACGCCTAGTGGGTGACGTACTCTACCTAGGCCTCCCGACTCAAGTAGATCGTGCCTTCCGCACGAAGCGTCGCTCGTCGGGCCTTCACCCCGTTCCTAGGTCTAGTCCTGGTCCACTGATCTCCTTCCCAAATACCTACAGTAAAGCGCGCCCAGAGAAAAACTCCCTTTTCGAGTTTCAGGCCTCTCTCGCGCCCGGCTAAATATCCCTCCATACGATGGTCTAAAGGGACGCTGAAACACTGTCTCTCCTTGTCGAGGTCGGCCTTTTCGATTTGGATCTTACCGTCGCCAGTCGCCTCTAGAATCCTGACCATGGACCACCCCCCCGATGATCCCTACTAACACCTTCCAACCGCCCGACCC